TGTCTTGTGGATTTAAGAGACGTTTCCTTTATCTTTGACGACAAGACTTCATGACCTCACCTGCAGGGGATTCAGATAAAACCACAAACTAGTCTAATCTGGAAAAACAGGCCAGTGATTTCCCAGGATACACATATAAACTAATATGTATCTTTATGTCATTGTAGACTAGTAATGCATTTATCATATACTTAGTATTGTGGATTCTTTAGCCATAATTCATAGTAATATTTCACTGTAGCTGTTATACCAACATAATCTATATATTTCCATTTATTCACAGGGAAGTTTGGATCATAATGATTATGAATGACATAATTAAAATTTTCTGTATACATAGATAAAAATTAAATTCTGTTATTAAGATGCACATATAAAACTGCAGAAGATTTGTGATAAATCATGGTACATATGTGCTGTACATAAGTGGGGGAACATACTGTGCATGTGTATATGAGTGGTTATGATTATGGTCCATGCTGACGGTGTGAATGTGTGTCTGTGCTGCTTGTTGCTGTTAAACTTTAGATAAGCCGACAGTGAAGCCCGAGGTGACCGCTTACAAAGCAGCAAACAGTACCAGCCTCGGGGGGAGGAGCGCGCTGGTGTGTCAGGCCTCAGGAATGATTCCTCCTCTGGTCCAGTTCTCCTGGAAAAGAGAGAAGAACGGCCGGCTGGAGGATCTGCCCCCTGCTGAGGTGGAGCAGCTGGAAATCAAAGAGCCAGGACGCATCACTTCCATCACGGTGCTCGATCAGGGTGATATCTACTCATATAAATACCTCTGTGAAGTCAACCACGAGAAAGGCAAAGTGACCGGCCAAAACAAAATAGGTAACTAACACTTCATGACTGAGTGATTCAACATTCAGAGAATATCCAGAGAGCAGAGGAGAAGGTCACTGACATGACTTTGTTAATTCTTTCCTTTTCTTTTACAGAGATTAGAGGACCTTCTCCTCCCCCACCGCCTCCCCCACGCTGGTTTAAAGAGAGGCTGCTGTGTCTGATGTACACAGTGCTGATAGCGAAGAGTCTGGCGTACTTCTGTGGACTCTCTCTGCTCGGGATCACGAGAAAGAAGGGACGTTCAACCAACAGCACACCTGCTAACTGACTGTCTTTA